ATTACGTAATTTCACTGATAAAATTGTCTTAATTAGTAATATTATTATTATTATTACCAATATTTAAAATAAAAGACTAAATTTTTGTTTTTTTGTTTGTTTTCAGTACGATCACGACTGGATGGAATTTTTATCAAAACGTTTAATTGATAAAATAACTGAGAAATTACCCTGCGTAGTTAGAAACGGTGATCCAAATTCAACTTATCCAGGATGTGTCAATTTATCGTTTGCTTACGTCGAAGGTAAGTAATAATCATTATTATCATTATCGTTAAGGAAGATAAATAAAAAAAAAATACAAAATGAGAGTTTAATATAAATTTTATTAATAATATACATAACATTTTTATTTATAGGTGAATCGTTGTTGATGGCGATGAAAGACGTTGCTTTGTCCAGCGGTTCAGCATGCACGTCAGCATCATTGGAACCTTCGTACGTTTTAAGAGCCATCGGAGCCGATGAAGATTTAGCACATTCATCAATACGATTCGGTTTGGGAAGGTTCACGACCATAGAAGAAGTTGATTACACGGCTGAAAAATGCATCAAACACGTTCAAAGGCTTAGAGAAATGAGGTTTGATAGAATACATATAGTGAAGATTGAGAGAAGAGTGTGAGTGAGTGAGAGAAGAGAGAATGAGAGAGGAGCGCGAGAGAGTACGCAAGGGGGGACGCGAGAGCGTACCCGAGAGCGCGAGGGTGGGGCACGCGAGAGCGCGAGTTAGGACGCGAAAGGGTACGCAAGAGCGTACCCCCTAGCGCGAGGGGGGGGCACGCGAGAGCGCGAGCTAAGACGCGAGGGGGTACGCGAGAGCGTACCCGAGAGCGCGAGGGGGGGCACGCGAGAGCGCGAGTTAGGACGCGAAAGGGTACGCGAGAGAGTACGCGAGGGGGGGCACGCGAGAGCGCGAGCTAAGACGCGAGGGGGGGCACGCGAGAGCGTACCCCCTAGCGCGAGGGGGGGCACGCGAGAGCGCGAGTTAGGACGCGAGGGGGGCACGCGAGAGCGCGAGTTAGGACGCGAAAGGGTACGCGAGAGAGTACGCGAGGGGGGGCACGCGAGAGCGCGAGTTAGGACGCGAAAGGGTACGCGAGAGAGTACGCGAGTGGGGGCACGCGAGCTAAGACGCGAGGGGGTACGCGAGAGCGTACCCGAGAGCGCGAGGGGGGGCACGCGAGAGAGTACGCGAGGGGGGCACGCGAGAGCGTACCCCCTAGCGCGAGGGTGGGGCACGCGAGAGCGTACCCGAGAGCGCGAGGGTGGGGCACGCGAGAGCGCGAGTTAGGACGCGAGGGTGGGGCACGCGAGAGCGTACCCGAGAGCGCGAGGGTGGGGCACGCGAGAGCGCGAGTTAGGACGCGAGGGTGGGGCACGCGAGAGCGTACCCGAGAGCGCGAGGGTGGGGCACGCGAGAGCGCGAGCTAAGACGCGAGGGGGGGCACGCGAGTTCGCGAGAGGGTACCCGTGAGCGCGAGTTAGGACGCGAGGGGGCACGCGAGAACGCGAGGGGGGGGCACGCGAGAGCGCGAGTTAGGACGCGAGGGGGGCACGCGAGAGCGCGAGATAGGACGCGAAAGGGTACGCGAGAGAGTACGCGAGTGGGGCACGCGAGAGCGTACCCCCTAGCGCGAGGGGGGGGCACGCGAGAGCGCGAGTTAGGACGCGAGGGTGGGGCACGCGAGAGCGTACCCGAGAGCGCGAGCTAAGACGCGAGGGGGGGCACGCGAGAGCGCGAGCTAAGACGCGAGGGGGTACGCGAGTTCGCGAGAGGGTACCCGTGAGCGCGAGTTAGGACGCGAGGGGGCACGCGAGAACGCGAGGGGGGGGCACGCGAGAGCGTACCCCCTAGCGCGAGGGGGGGGCACGCGAGAGCGCGAGTTAGGACGCGAGGGGGGCACGCGAGAGCGCGAGCTAAGACGCGAGGGGGTACGCGAGTTCGCGAGAGGGTACCCGTGAGCGCGAGTGGATACGCGAGTACGCGAGGGAGTACGCGAGAGCGCGAGTACGCGAGGGGGTACCCTAGAGCGCGAGAGAGTACGCGAGGGAGTACGCGAGAGCGCGAGAGAGTACGCGAGTGGGTACCCGAAAGCGCGAGGAGGGGGCACGCGAGTACGCGAGGGGTACCCGGGAGCGCGAGAGAGTACCCGAAAGCGCGAGGAGGGGGCACTCGAGTTCGCGAGAGGGTACCCGAGAGCGCGAGTGGATACGCGAGTACGCGAGGGGATACGCGAGTACGCAAGGGGGCACGCGAGAGCGCGAGTTAGTACGCGAGAGAGTACCCGAAAGCGCGAGAGAGTTCGCGAGAGGGTACCCGAGAGCGCGAGTACGCGAGTGGGTACCCGAGAGCGCGAGTGGATACGCGAGTACGCGAGGGGTTACGCGAGGGAGTACGCGAGAGCGCGAGAGAGTACGCGAGTGGGTAC